TCTCTCTCTTTGTCTCCCTCGATCTCTCTTTTTGTTTCTCTCTCTCTCTTTTTTCCTCTCTCTCTCTCTCTCCCTGCTTCTCCCGCATGTCGCACGATCTCCCGCGCCGCGCCCCGGGGACGCTTGGCGCCGAGGCTCTGCCTGGCGGTGCCGCGACTTGCCCCCAGCGCGGCGCGATCTCGCCCTGCCCCCCACCTCTCGCCGCTCCCCGCCCCCCCCCCCGCCCTTTCGGGAGCGGGAGCAGGAGCAGGAGGAGCAGGAGGAGCAGGAGCAAGAGGAGGAGGAGGAGGAGGAGGAGGAGGAGGAGGAGGAGGAGCAGGAGGAGGAGGAGGAGCAGGAGCAGGAGCAGGAGCAGGAGCAGGCGGAGGAGGAGCAGGAGCAGGAGCAGGAGCAGGAGCAGGAGGAGGAGGAGCAGGAGCAGGAGCGGGAGGAGGAAACGGCTCGCCTGCGTCCTGGCTGCTTCACCTCCAGGCCGAGGCGAATGAGATGCGTCAGCTCTCGTCTGTCGCAGGATTCTGGAATCGGGTGTGTCCTTTCGGACTGATGGCGTGCGCCCTGGAAAGACAACCTCGGTAGCTCCGCATATGCATCATGATCCTCATCCTACTCATCGTCGTCGTCCTCCTCCTCCTCAATTCCCCACATTCGCCCCCTCCCTCCATCATGTTTTCTCCTCTTTCTCTGCATTATCCTTCCTTCTCCGAGTCTCCTCCTCGAAATCTGACCCGTGGAAGGGGAAACGAATGGTGCCATGAAGCAACCCCGAGTTGCACACCACACCCTGCAAGGGGGTCCCGTGCGGGTGTCAGTCATCTCCACACGGCCTCGGAGGTAGCGGTCGCCCTCTTCCGTGGACGTCGTCGGCGCATCTTGCAAGGTGTGTCAAGGCGTGCGAGATAGTTGGCTGCCGCCCCCTCTGGCCCTGCTCCACAGGGGTCCAACATCTCGTTTGAAGGGGGGGCAAAGCTCCTCAACCAAGCTTCCGCACTCGAAAACGCCTCCAAGATAGCCCACCAGGCACCAGATGCTTCCAGAATGGCTCAGCTGGGCCATGAGTGGGCCCGGCAAGGTCAGAGAGTTCCACCGGTGCTAGTTTGGAGAAGACGGAGGACGCGGCGAGAGGAGACAGCGTAAACAACTGACGGTAGTCTGCCTCGAACCAGGTCGGCAAACAACCCTGACACCTGCCGCGTGACCGTCTTCGCCCATGCCAACTCACTCGTGGCCAAGCCCCAGGTGCGGAGCGTAGAGAAGTAAAGAGTTCGAGCCCGCGCGTGCGCACATACACTCAATGGGGTGCGCCAACGGCGCAGTGTCCCTCGCAAGTCCGAAACATATCGAAACGAATACCTTCCGTTGCTATTCTGCCGCGTCGGGAGGAGGTCTGCAGTCGCAAAAGCAGACGCCGAGGGGAGCTCGCCTCGATCAGCGTGGAGCCGCCTGCCTTACCGCTCCTGTTGACGTCGAAGCCGCGCGCGAGCAGGAACTGCGAGCGGTCGGAGGGGAGGCCACCGCCGCCGTATCCGCACAGGCACCCCCTCCTCCTTCCTGCTCACTTCCCCTCCTCCTCCTCCTCCTCCTCCTCCTCCTCCTCCTCATGCTCTTCCTCCTCTTCCTCCTCCTCCTCCTCACGCTCTTCCTCCTCGTCGTCTTCGCGTCCCTCTCCACCTCCTCGCGCTTCACTGAACCAGCGCAGCGTTGGAGAAGGCGGAGGTCAGCGGACAGCGGCCTTGACCCGCTGAGAGCACGCTGTCATTTGTTCTGCGTCGCAGTCGTCCCCCCGCCCGCCTTTCCTCCTCCTCCTCCTCCTCCTCCTCCTCCTCCTCCTCCTCCTCCTCTCCTCCTCCTCGTTGTCCCCATTACTCCCCCGTCGCTCAGGGGAGGGGGAGGGGGAGGAGGAGGAGGGGGAGGAGGGGGAGGAGGGGGAGGAGGGGGAGGAGGAGGAGGAGGAGGGGGAGGAGAAGGAGGAGGGAGGAGGAGGAGGAGGAGGAGGAGGAGGAGGAGGCGGAGGAGGAGGAAGAGAAGGAGGAGGAGGAGGAGGAGGAGGAGGAGGAGGAGGTGGAGGGGAAAAGGAAGCGGGAGGAGGAGAGTGGATGAGAGGAGGAGGAGGAGGAGGAGGAGGAGGAGGAGGAGGCAAGACACAAAATACTGGTTGACACTCTCCTGGGCTAGGTCGGGCTGGCAAGCGGTGTGTTTGAGGTGAGGCCCAGGCCTCCGATCGACGTGATCACGACAATGGTGCTGCTGTGTGCTGCCAAGGCGTCGGCTGCCCCTATCGACCTGTGCGGGTAACTCCTGGACCCCCCCTGGGATATAAAACTGTGCACGAGCTGACCAGCTCGTGCCCCCTCAAGCGAGATGCCGCGAAGCGTCGAAACCTTGACCACGTATCGTAACTCGACTGCCGCTGTTTGGGGTGTCACTAGTTGGCTGGCCTCCTTCCCGTCTTCGTTCGCCATCGCCCACCTCCTCCGCCTCCTCGACGTCCACCCCGTCCAATCACTCATGGTCATCGCCTTGTTGTCAGCCTCCTTCGCTCTCCTACGTTGTCGTCGGCGTCGTCTTTTTCGTCTTCCCCCATCACGCGGGTGAATTCCCCCCCCTTCTCCTCCCCTGGGGTCTCCACCAGAAAGCTTTCGGAGCAGGCGGGAGGTCGAGGGGTGAGGGCACGCAGGAGGTGGAGGTCAGGGTCCATCAGGATGATAAAGCACAAGGGTAGGGGAGACAGGTGGAGCAGGAGGAGCAAGGCAGGCGGAGCAAGACTCGGGGCAGAGGAAGAGCAGCGCCGCTCACGGAGGGCGGGTCGTCGCCAGGGATCTCGTCCCGACGGGGCGAGCGACGCAGGCGGATGGACCTCTCCGCATTCCTCAACCAGGCCAGTGGTCGACCTCATGCCCCCTCTTCCTCCTGAGGCCCCTCCCTCTCCCGCGCCTCACTCGCTCCTCCTCGTGTGCCCCCCCATGCTTTCCCTGCCCACGCCTCCCCCTCCTGTAAGTTTTAGGTCGGGCATGTCCTTCTACAGGCGGAGTCTCGGCGAATTCGGCGAATATATATATATATATATATATATATGTATATATATATATACATATATGATATATGATATATTTATATATATATAGGTATATAAATATATAAATATAAATACACACAATACCCCAAACAGATTCAATAAACTATCTCAAATTATTAAAAGTCGTCCCCTGACGATGTTTTGAGTATGTGCGAAAATTCCCCCTGTAGAGGGGCATCCCCGACTTAATCCAAGTTCCACTGCTCTCCGTCTCCTCCTCCCACGCCTCGAGGGCCGTGCCAGGACCGGGGCTGCTGCAAACCGCTGGCCCCGCCTCGGGCACGCGGACCACCTCTGGGAGACCTGCGTGGGCCTCCCGGGACCACGTGAGATCTCAAGAGGCAACCTCCTTCTCCCCCTCCTCCTCTTCCTCCTCCTCTCCTCCTCTCCTCCTCCTTCGCCTCCTCCTCCTTCTCCTCCTCCTCCTCCTCCTCCTCCTCCCTCGCCTCCTCCTCCTCCTCCTCCTCCTCCTTCTCCTCCTCCCCCATCCCCAAGCATCCCAATAACCCGACCAGCTCTCCTGAATTTGGAATTAGGGCTGGACACCCAATTCTTCATCGGCCTCGTCATCCTCCATCATCATCTCTCTCATTCTCCTTCTCCTCCTCCTCCGCCTCCTCCTCCTCATTATCATCATCATCATCGTCATCATCATCAGCATCATCATCATCATCATCATCAGCATCATCATCATCATAATCATCACCATCACCATCATCATCATCATCATCAGCATCATCATCATCAGCATCATCATCATCATCATCATCATCATCACCACCACCACCACAACCACCACCACCACCATCAGCATCAGCATCAGCATCAGCATCAGCATCAGCATCAGCATCAGCATCATCATCATCATCATCATCATCATCATCATCATCATCATCATCATCATCATCTCATCATCATCATCACCATTATCATCATCCATTCCTAATCATACTCCTCCTCCTCCTCCTTCTCCTCCTCCTCTCATCCACTCTCCTCCTCCCGCTTACTTTTCCCCTCCGCCTTCTCCTCCTCCTCCGCCTCCTCCTCGGCCTCCTCCTCCTCCTCCTCCTCCTCCTCCTTCTCCTCCTCCTCATCCTCCTCTCAGGATGGACGGTGGAGGAGAAGGAGGAAGAGGAGGAGGAGGAGCAGGATGAATGGAGGAGGAGGGGGAGGTGGAGGAGGAGGACGAGAAGGAGGAGGAGGAGGAGGAGGAGGAAAGGGAGGAGGAGGAGGAGGAGGAGGAGGAGGAGGAGGAGGAGGAGGAGGAGGAAAGGGAGGAGGAGGAGGAGGAGGAGGAGGAGGAGGAGGAGGAGGAGGGAGGAGGAGGAGAAGGAGAAGGAGGAGGAGGAGGAGGAGGAGGAGGAGGAGGAGGAGGAGGAGGAGGAGGAGGTGTGGGGAGTTTTTTGAGTGTGGGGATGTTATGTGATTTCTGCATGGGTCCATGGACGATGATGAGGAGGAGGAGGACGAGGATGAGAGTAGGAGAAGGAGAAATAGGGAAGAGCAGGGGAAGGTGTTTTAATGTGGAGTCCTGGAGGTTTGGAGGGGGGCAGGGGGAGTTGAACTTTGGCGGGCTCCTGAAAGCATGGAAGAGCAGCCCCATACCTACACTCCCCACCTGCGGCTGCAGCGGAGAATCGGAGGATAGCTGGCCAAACTCTACGGCAACGGGCTCGAACCTGCACGAACAAAACAAACACAAACAAAGCGAACAACTTCGACGGACCGAGTACTACATCGAGCTTCACTCATCAGAAGCGCGCGCACGTCCCACGCTCGTTGTAGCATGGATTTGGCTGACCCGACGGCATGTGAGTGCAATGTTCGCACGCGCGCCGGGACATGCTCACGCACTGCGCCTTCCCCCAGCGTTTGCTGAGACGCGGAAGCGTGCCTGTACCCTCGGCTGGCCTCGGCTAGTGTAGTGGCTCTCCAGCGCTACCGGAGCGCCGAGACGGAAACACACATGTCCCCGAACTTGCCTGCGAAGGAACTGGGCCCGTTTGCCGCCCCAGCGGCCGCGCTCCCGTCTGTCGCCGTAGCATTTTTTCCGCTTACTTTTCCCCTCCGCCTTCTCCTCCTCCTCCGCCTCCTGGTCGGCCTCCTCCTCCTCCTCCTTCTCGTCCTCCTCCTCCTCTCAGGATGGACGGTGGAGGAGGAGAAGGAGGAGGAGGAGGAGCAGGATGAATGGAGGAGGAGGAGGTGGAGGAGGACGAGAAGGAGGAGGAGGAGGAGGAGGAGGAGATTTCGACTGCGTTTGCCGCCCTGGTGTCCCCGTTGCCGCCCGCCGACGCCGCCCCGCTGCACTGCAATCGCAATGATTTGCAATCGCATTGCAGTGCGCTGCAATCGCACCGCGCTGCATTGCGTTGCATCGCGTTGCAATCGCAGTGCAATGCGTCCGCTGTGGATTGCACTGGAATCGCATTGCGTTGCATGGCATTGCTTCGCATTGCCATCGCGTTGCACTACTGTGCATTGCATCTGTGTGCATTGATTTGCGCTGCTTCGCGTTAGTTCCCCCTGCTGTGCATTGGTTTGCATTGGTTTGCATTGGTTTGCATTGCATTGCGTTGCTTCGGATTGCTGTGCATTCTGTGTATTGTTCTGCATTGCTTTGCTTTGCTTTGCGAAGCGTTGCATCGCGCTGCATTCCGACACAATACTACGCGTTTCCGCGCATGGCCTTGCATTGTTTTGTGCAGCAGAGGTTTGCACCACATGGATTGCACCACCTAGATTGGACCACATAGGTTCTCCTTTCTTTAAAAAAATAGGATCTACCCCCCCCCCCACCTCCACCAATCTGATCGGCACTCAGTGGGGTAACACATCTTACTCATGGTCCTCCCCCAGCCTTCATCTTGAACATGAATTCGTACAATCCCAGCAAAGCCGGTATTATCGACTCACCCCCGCATCACCCCGGACAAATGAAATCATGCGCGCGCACTCGTTGAACACAAATCATCAATTTCAGAAACCCATGTTTCGAATATGGGGCAACGCCCACACGCGCGCGTCGTCGCGCGCGCACGCCGACATTCTTCAACAAACACCACGGGTCCCATGAAGATTTCAAGACCGAGGTTACCGAAATCACATGGGAACATTGAGCGGTGTTACAGCATGACAGTTCAAAACAGTCTGCGCGCGCGTTCTGGTTCATCCAATGCGACCAAGCAGTCCTCACGTGCTCGCGGGTCGAAATCATTCGAAAGCCTTTGCGCGCTTGTCATAAAAATTCTGCAGGCCAGCCGCGTCCATCGGCCGCGCGCGCATGACGAAAAAAATCCGGATCACCGACACGTGGACACCATCATCGCCATCGGCGTGATCAGCACTGGCACCGTCATATGCCTTGCTGTCGGCGTCGTCGTCGTCGTCACCAGCATTGCTAGTATCATCATCGTGCCTGCCGCTGTCGACGTCGCCACGGTACTGCGCCCGCCGGAATCACCGACTCGCGCTGAAGTGAGGGTGCGCGTCAGCGCGGCCTGCGAGACGCGCTCGGGAGTCCCCAGCGGTAGGGCCCACCGCGGCCGCGTCGGTCGCGCCTGACTAGCTGGCCACCCTGCGCGCGAGCCTGTGTGCGCTAGCGCGGCCGCATCGATGCGCCAGCCAACGCCAAGCAGCCATTGCAATCGCCGCTGCAGAAACTGTGCACACAAATTTGCGGGCGGCCGGGTGTGATAATTGCGCGGGCAGTGGAAATGACAATTTCGGGTTCGAATACACTCTACCCCCACCCCCCGGGATGTTCGCCCCCTTTTTCGTATGGCTCTGCCCCATCGCCCGTCCCAGTCCCAAAAGTGAACACATACCATCCGAGCCGAACCGGTATCGCCCCCCCCGCCATCCTCTGCCGCAAAACAAAAAAACACAATGCGCGCGCACTTGTTTACCAAAAACCAGCGGATTTCAAAAACCCACCAACAGCAACAACAATGACGAAGTGCGCACGCGCGTGTCGTCGCGCGCATGCTGAAATCTGTTAAAAACCTTCGGTTTCGTAGAATTTGCATAATCGAGTGTCCAAAAAACACACCAGAAAACACAGGGTTTCACGACACGGATGTTCAAACAAAACTTGAGCGCGCTTGCTTATCAATACTGTTGGGTATGTGTTAGAAGAACATAGGTTGTTTCATAATTTTCTGAAAATGCTACCAAACGGGTTTCGGGCGCGCATGCCGAAATCGTCCGAGAGCCCTTGCGCACGTGCCGTCGCGAGAACCCCTTGCAAAAAATTGACGAAGTGCACACGCGCGCACGTCGTCGCGCGCATGCCAGGATCGGTCACAGAACCTTCGGTTTCGCAGCGTTTTCAAAACCGAAAGTCCAAACACACAAAGGCAATCACATGTTTTCGCAACGTCAATTTTCAAAAAAGCGTGCGCTCGCGCCCATGCGAATTATTCCGCAAAGATTATCGTTTCTTTTCCACGCGTTCATGGACGTGTGCCAAACAGGCCTCTAGCGCCGCATGCCAGAATCATTCGCGCGCCCTTGCGCGCGTGCTGGGGGGGGCACGATCCGCGCCAAAGAACACCATGCGGGCGGGCCACTCTCGCGCGCCGGCCGCGCGCGCATGTCGAACTCTTCCCAAAACCTCAATCACCGACGCGGCGACGCCGTCATCGTCGCCGGCGCGGTCAGCATCTGCGCCCGCACTGGCCGCGCCGTCGTCGCTGTCAACATCGCCACCAGCATCGTCAGTACCATCGTCGTGTCTGCCGTTGTCGACGTTGCCATGATACCGCGCACGCCCAAGTCGCCGAGTCGCATTGGAGTGCCCACTGGGATGTTTCCAGCGGTTAGCGCCACCGCGGCCGCGTCGGTCGCGCCAAATTACCTGGCCGCTGCGCGCGCGTGCTGCGCGGCCGCAGAGATGCACCAGCCAACGCCAAGCACTCATCGCAATCGCCGCCGCACGGATTTTGCAAACTAAGTTGCGGGAGGGTGGGTGGGATGTTTGCAAGAGCATGGGAGGTGCCAACTCGTTTGTAAAAATCAATTGCGCAACTTGGTTTGCGCAGCGCATTGCAGGAACTCACCGTTTTGGGGACGTTTGGTCAAGTAATCGAGCGCTTGACTGCGATGCTGGAGCTGAAACTTGAAGCTTGCGAAGAGGAGGGGGCGCACTGCGATGCTGGCTGTCGCAGCATTTCGGCAGTTACCCCCCAAGAGAAATACTGCCTCCAAGGCGTCCAAGTGGCCTTCTCTAGCAGCAGGGTGCCCCATGGACTCGTTGTTCGCCCAGTTCACGTCTGCACCTCGAGCATGGACGAGGGGGGGTGAAAGGGGGAGAAGAAGGAGGAGAAACGGAGATGGGCGCGGAAGGACGGGAGTCCGGGGAAGAGAGGTGAAGGAAATAAGACGACACGCTCCAAGCCTTAAGTCGGGCCTGTCCCCCCACAGGGGGATTTTCGACAACAAATAAAAATACCCTCCAAACATAGTCAAAAAATGATCCAAAAATAGTCTGGGGACTATTTCTTGAATAGTTTGGGCCTTTTGGGGGTATTTTTGGGGTATTTTCTATTTGTCGTTGGAAATCCCCCCGTAGGGGGACACGCCCGACATAATCCAAGCCAGACCAGAAAGAAGAAAAAGAAGAATCCAGGATTGCGAGGAATCGAGGTTGGCCGCGCGCGCGCGCGGCGCCAACAGCAGGGCACGAGGTCCAAACGGAAACAACAAACAACCAGAGACGACGACAAGGACGAAGACGAGCCAGCGATGGCAAAACGGAGCAACGGCGACGAGCGACCAGCGTGACGCGAGTGGCAACGACGAAGACGACAAGGGAGGGAATGGAGGGAGGAGTATGGGGGAGGAGGAGGAGGAGGAGGAGGAGGAGGAGGAGGAGGAGGAGGAGGAGGAGGAGGAGGAGGAGGAGAAGGAGGAGGAGGAGGAGGAGGAGGAGGATGAAGAACGAGCCTCCAGGATCTGCTCGAGTCTGGGCCAGCATGCGCACGCGGTCGCACGAGGCCCAGCCCTTGAGCAGAGCTTGCACTCTCATGCAAGAGCCCAACGACCAGACGCTGCAATCCGCCCCAAAACTCGGGTCGGGCGAAAGGGGGGGATAGCAAAGGGGGGGGTTGAGAATCAGCTCACGTAGCTGATTTTCCCGGCGCCTCCTGGCCCCTCGGTGGGGCCGAAAACAGCTGCATGCAGCAAATTTCGTACCCCCCCTTTCCCAATCCCCCCCTTTCGCCCGACCCGAAAAACCCGCAGCAGAACGCGGCGGCGGGAACGCATCTGCACACCGCGTGGTCCAGATTGGCCAGATGCCGAGGATGACGCGCGACCGCGCGCCGTCGATAGGCATTGGCGGCAGCGAGGTGTTCCAACCCACCGACCCCGTCGGCGGGCCCGAAGGGCGTTCAAGTTCGACGCTCTCCCCCCTCCTCCGCCTGTGGCCAACGCGGGCCCATGCGCCCCCCCCCCCCTTCCCTCGTTTCCTGTGGCCGCCGGGGGCTTTCCAAGCTCGCCGACTCCTAGGTGAGCCGACCAGCATCGCAGGCGAGTCGAAGGGAAACCCGTTCCCCTTGCCCTCTTTCTCGCTGGAGGGGGGAGGGGTCTCCAGTGGGTGCACTCCCGTGCCCCTGCTTCGGGGGATCTCAGGCCCAGTCCGGCCATCTTCGGGCTCTCCGAGCCAGCCAGCGCGAGGTACGCCCACCCGAATCGCAATCGGGTCGAAGGGAAGCTCCTTCCCGTCCGCCCCTTCCCCGCGAAGGGGGGAGGGGCGGGGGGTCCGCAGGGCGGTCCTGTGGGGGTCCCTGGGGGGGCGCTTCCCCGTTGCCCTCTTCCTCGTCATTCCTCTCCTCCCGCTGTCCTGGCCATCGCTCGGACGTCCACTCCCTGAAATTAAGGATTCTCCTCGATGGTCCTCGCCGAAGGAAAAATGCACACGTCCGAGCGACGCCAAGTGTCCGTCTCTTCCCGCCTGTTGCGTTCTCTTGCCGTTCTTCCTACGGGGTCGGCGGAACTGGCCCCGCGAAGGCCTTTGAAACAGGACGGCAAGTTCGTGTCGTGACGACCCCGGGCGCTGGCTTCTGCACCACCGCGTGGATCGTTCAGCCTTGAACGATCGGCGGCTCTTAGATCGCCCAATCGTTCAATACAGGCCGATTCTGGGCCACTGGCGGTGTTCAACCTTGAACGCTCGCGGCGGGGTCGCCGCTGGCCGACACGACGCGAACCTACCGTATGGTTTCCGAAAGGGGGAACATACATGTTTGTCTCAGCTGGCTTCCGGGCCTCCATTTGTGTTCCGCGCTGTGCACCAGGGAATGTTGCGCTCGGCCAGAAGAGCCGAGGCCCTGAACGCAAGAATCAGAACACCTATAACCACAGAGGTCGCTGCCGCTTGATCGCGTGCCTGGCTTCTGGAGGAACTCGGCATGCAAACTGGTTCGTGCTTCCCGTCTTGTGTCGGAATTACAATGTGCTGTTTTAGAATTGTGGGCTGCGCCTTCAGGCGACACCTTGTGGGCCAAGTGAACTGAACAAAAAGCCAACATGTGTTCCGCCTGTTCTCGTCAGCCCTTACACACCTGCTCGGGCCCTGTAGGATCCAGAATGATAGCTTGCATCGACTGTCCGACACTCAACCTCAAACAGCGTCCGCCCTTACAAGCACGCGGGAGGTTCCAGATCGTATTCCTCTCATCTCCATCCCTGCCCCATCTCCCTGTGCCCAGGTGCGCACTGGCTCCCTTGTCGGACGGCGTGCGCCATGTGCCTTGCGCGGTATTGTGCACACTACGCGCATGTCATATGCGTGCGTATGTGAGCGAGGAAGCCACACTCTTGGGCATAGCTCTCCTAACGTGGCACCGTTGCCCCGAGATCGCTCGCACCCGTGTCACATGCATGCTCTTGCGCCCCAGGCGCACACATCCCCTGGCGGTCACACCACATACGTATCTTTAGTTTGTGTTTTCCTGCCTCCGACGTCTGCTGTTCTGACCCGAAGACCCGAATTTCGGGTTGGGCGGGTACGGGCTTCATATGTTTGTTTCGATGTTCCCCGACCCCCCCCCCGGAAATGGAAGGCAAATCGGTGCCTTCGGGTTGGGTTGAGGTGGTTTCCTGGGCAGTGATGTTCGGCAATGACGCTGCAACGTATGGACACGAACGTCGACTGACACGCCGTCCAAATGTCTCTCCGCTCGGGCCACGCTCAGGCAAGCCATACCTGTTCGGCCGCACTTGCAACTACACCTAGCGCCCATCACACGACACGCCTACCTGGGAGCCATCATAGCTATTGCAGAGACTTCAACAGCTTCTCCAAGTACAAACGGTTGAGGCGTGTCACGACCCTCTGGGAAAAATGAAGCTCGTCCTTGTAGTACTGCCCTCGCAGAGGATAGCTGGAGGTCATCTTGTATGCGTCAAACACTTCCCACCCATATTGCCGCGCAAGCTTCACCTCCTTCTCTACAAACTTATCATGCGCGCTGCTTGTGTCACTTCTCGAATGGGATACGGTTTTCCACATGAACTGGATCCCATCACGCCTCTGGATCTCAGCACCAGCAGCAAACAGCTTGTTCAGGCCGTGCACACTCAGATGACCCCACTTACCAGAATTGACCACAACGTGAGTCGGCTTGGGCTGCATCTTCTTGACAACATTACTCAGCAGGGTCACGACTCCTGCAGCATCCTGCCATCCTGGCTGCTTGATTGTCCAACGGAATGGCGAGGTGCACTTCCCAACTGGGCAGCTGGCTTGAGTGGGCCGCTCGCCCGAGGCATTGAAATATCCGTGGAACGACCAGCCACCAAACCATCCAAAGTACGAAAGCGATGATTCATGTCCAGGCAATGTAATGAAGCGGTCCTCGACAAAAACTGCATCTTTGTTTCGTTTCTGGTCTTCACGGCCGCAATGGCAAACTTCCGAAACACCGTCACCCTGCAGTTGCGAATTCTGGTGTACGTACAACGACTTCCAAAAATCCTGGTAATTGCTATCTTTGGTAGGCAATGCCTCAGGCTCCTCAGGGCGAGCTTCACCGTGTATCATCCATGACGCTAAATTGAAATCCGCCACCGTGCCTTCAGCACGTAGTGGAGTGCCCCAAGGCCCCCTGCAGCCCTCAGAGGTAGAGGGGCTGAAAGGGTCTTAAGGGCCCCGACCCCCAGTCTCCCAGCTGCTCGTGGGAGCTCCTGGCAACTGCTGGGAGCTCCTGAGAACTCCTGGGATATCCCGCAAATTCCCGGGAGCTCTTCGCAGCTGCTCAGCCAGCCTCAGACGACCCCCCGAACCCTCGAGAGCGTTTCCAGAACCGCCTCAGATGGCTACACAGATTCCCGGAGCGGTCCAAGACAGCTTCAAGACGACCCGCTGTGGCCCCAAGACGGCCCAAGTGGCCCACAAAACGCCTCGAAAGGCCCTAATGAGCATCCGCAAGGAAGCCCGAAGAAGCAACACATCGTCCCATTCCGGAGAACGCACGTGTTCAGCAGATTCTTCTTTTGCGCTGTCACGGCGTCCAAGAAGGTCCGCTTGACTCTCAAGATCGCGCTCAGAGGCCCCGAAGATCGCCCCAAGACAGCTCAAGAGGCTCCAAAAGGGGCTCCAAAACTGCCAAATGGGGCCCCAAGAGAGCCCAAGAGACCCCCAGGACAGCCTAGGAGAGCCCCAAAACACCCCCAATAAAAGCTCCAGTGGGGAAAATGCACGGGCATTTCGAGCTTGCGGGCCCAAGTACGCCCCAAGGACGTCTCCACAGGCGCCCCAGAGAGCCCAAAGAGGCCCCCAAGAGGCCCCCAAGAGGCCTCCAGGAAGCTCCACGGGGCCTCAAATGAGGCCCCTCAGAAACTCCAAAGGGGCTTCGAAAATTGCCCCCCCGACGCAAGGCCCCCAAGAGCTCAGAATAAGCTCCACTCTCACCCACGACGCGCAACCCAGGCGAGCTCCACGAGGCCTCATGGGCTCCAGGGAAGCGTCAACGGCGCCTCAAAACTTGCCCCCAGGAGCACTGGGGAGCCCTCCGAAACCATCCCAAGAAACGTCCACGAAAACTCGCACACACGACCCACGACCCAGGTGAAAAGCCCCCAGAAGGCTCAGAACAAGCCCCACTCTCACCCATGACCCACAACCGAGCCAAGATGCCCCAAGAGGCCCAACAGAAGCCCCATGAGGCCTTCAAACGGCCCCCATGAGACTTCAAGAGCCTTCCGAACTGTCTTTAAGGGGTCCCCCAGAGGGGCCCCAACAGACCCCAGTAATGATCTGAGAAAGAGAGAGAGAGAGAGAGAGAGAGAGAGAAAGAAAAAAAGAGAGAGAGAGAGAGAGAGAACATGAGATAATTAACCCCCCTCGCGAACGGGCATGTCGAGCTTGCGGGCCCAAGTACGCCCCCAAGGCCCCCAAGAAAGCCCGAAGAGGCCCCAAGAGGCCCCCAAGAGGCCTCCGGGAAGATACACGAGGCCTCAAAGAGGACCCCCAAACGATCCAATGGGGCTTCAAAACTTCTCCCCAGAAGCCCCCGAGAGCCCGCCGAAACTACCCCCGTCCTTGAGAAATCTCACCACGACCCACGACCAAGGCAAAAGGCCTCAGGAAGCTCAGAATAAACCCCAAATTCGTCCATGACCCATAATCCAGGCAAGATGCCCCAAGAGGCCCAGCAGAAGCTACATGAGGCCTTCAAACGGCTCCCATGAAGGTCCGAGGGCCTTCCGACCCGTCTCCAAGCGGGCCAGTACCAACAGGCCCCAAACATCGTTTGAAAGAGCTGGAAATGAGAGAACACCCCTCGCGAACGGGCATTTCGAGCGTGCGGGCCCAAGGACGCCACCAGGGCCCCCAAGAAAGCCCGAGGAGGTCCCAAGAGATCCCCAAGAGGCCCCCAGGAAGCCCCAGGAGGCACCAGAGAGACCCCCAAGAGGCTCCCAAAAGGCCTCAAGACTGCCCCCCAGAGGCCCCTGAGAGCCCTCCATCCGAAGAGACCCCAATAAGCATACATTGGGACTCTGACCCTCAACCCAAGCATGGTGGCGGGATGGGCCGACGGCCACTAGATTCGCCGCCCCTTGTTGACTTGCCACAGGGGTGCCCGACATGCTGGGTGTTTGGATGTTTTTGGTTCTTTTCTGAACTCAGCCTGGAGCTTCGGCCGATACCGACGCCCACCGGGAAGGCTGCGTTCAAGGTGGGTACAATGGTTTTTCATGGTCTAGATGGGCCCAAGATGGCCCAAGTTTGCCCACAACACGGCCAAGACGGCTCCCAAGTTCGCTCAAGATGGTCCAGGGGGGCCTTCAAGACGGCCCAAGAGAGTCCAAGATGTCTCCAAGTTCGTCCAAGAAGCCTCCAAGACTGCCCAAGACGGCCCAAGGAGGCCTCCAAGATGCCTCCAAGGGGCCCCCAGGAAGCTTCCAGGAGGCCTTAAGAGTGCCCCCAGATGCTCCCAAGATGCCCCCCCCTCCTCCTCCTCCTCGTTCTCTTCCTGAGCTTCCCCACCATTCTCCCCCACGTGTTCCCCGAAGGGTTTTCACAACGGCTGGGGGGACACATGGTTCGATAGCTTAGCAGAGCTCTGGCCACAACGTTCGGCCACATGGGCGATTCCAAAAGGCAGGGGGCGGCGGTGATTCGCCGTAGGCATCTTCGATACTGTTGGCGCATCATGGAGTCTCCGATGAAAACCAAATGCGGTCGATGCGATTTCTGTTTCAACTCACCAACCGCTTCACGCATCACTGTTTCATCATGGATCTCTGCAGCCGATGGTGGTACTGCGCGTGCAGCCTTCCCCCGATTTCTGAAAACTTCGTACTCAACCTGCCAATCTGAAACCTCAGGTGCACAAACATCCTGCGCAGCATATGTATCTTCCACCGTTGTTGTGCTGTTTGTTTGCATCCTGCCCCACGGGCATTCCACAAGCTCGGCATCCTTAGGGTAATGTGCCACCCCAGAAGGCGCAGTTGAGTCCCCTTCCAGTCGAAGCGCCTCTGAGATGCTCAGCACCGAAACAAAGCAAACAAGCGCAGAAGCACGGGGCCAAGACATGGGTGCTGACTCAAAGCGCATGTGCCATAGAGCGTTCTGTACCCTGGGATGCTGGTCAAGGTTTGGTTGGGACCTTTGGGCCTTGAGCCAAGGTGACAACAGCACATACATCGCTCGGTTTTGTAGAGGTTGTGGGGAGGCCGCAAAAACGTGAGGGCCGCGCACGAGACAGAACAAAGGTTTGGCCTGGTTTGGCCCCAGGCTTGCCCTGGTTTGGGGCCAGTTTCGCTTGAGACGTTCTCGCATTTTGCTTGGTGTGGCTTGGTGTCGGTGCGGTTTCGCCTGAGACGTCCTCACAATTTGCCTGGTTTGGCTTGGTTCCGGGGCGTTTTGGCCTGAGACGTCCTTCCTTTGCTTGGTTTCTTTTGGTTCCGGTGCGGTGTGGCTTGAGGCGTGCTCACGAAGTGCAAAGTCTGTGGTTGAAGCATGTAGTGCAAGCTACGCTGCGCATCGAACCCACATCGTCGCAAACTAAAAGGTGAAATGTATGTGGTGCAAAGTATACGGTGGAAACTGTGTGGTGCAAGCTATGTGGCGCACGCACACATCTTCTTGTGACGTTGGCCCAGTGTCCAGCGTTAGGAGAAAACTCTCCTCAGGCTGTAGAAATTTACTGCAGAAAACGTTCTATATTGTGTGTTCGTCTGAGTTGCGATTGTGTTCGCGCCCTTTTTCTCACTACCCGTAGTCCATCTAATTCCACAGCGCGTGGGCACTCAGCTGCGTCTTCGTCTGCGCGCCCTATCACGACGATTGCGTCTGGGTCCAAATGTCCGGAGTCGTGGCTTCTCACAACGACCGGGTTTTCTCTCCGAACCGCTCTGGCGTCGTGGCTTCGCACAACGTGGGCCGGGTTTTCACTCCGAGTCGCTCCGGCGTCGTGGCTTCTCACAACGTGGACCGGGCTTTCACTCCGAGTCGTTTTTGACGGCCCCGCAGCCCAGTGAGGGCCCCCGGAGGCCGAGGACGGCCATCACCCTCTCGTCGCCAGTACTCTCCGCTACGGTGGCTTCCACAGGGCCCTCGCACAGCTTCGCCACAGTGCCGCCGCCTCGCCGGAGGAGAAACCAGTGCGTGGGCGGTGCCGGCCGCATGTGGTGAGCCCGCTCCTCCTGGGCCCACGACCGGTAAGGTGAGGAGGAGGGAGGGAGGGAGGGAGGGAGGGAGGAGGGAGGAGGGAGAAGGGAGGAGGGAGGAGGGAGGAGGGAGGAGGCCCCCCCCCCCCCCTGGCGGCGTGGTGAGGGCCATCACAGGCTGCGCGGTTACCGGTGGAGCTGAAAAGCGCAAGCACACAATGGGCTCCGGCACGTCCCGAGGGCCATCGCTCGTGCAGTCTCGTAGCACGGAGGCGCTGCTCAGCACCGCCTCTCGCTCATGACTCACTCTTCCGACTGCTGCTTCTCGTCGCCGTCGGCCTCCTCCTCCTCCTCTTCCTTTTCCAGGCGCGATCCGCTCACGCGAAGACCGGGCATCTGTCGCTCCAGCCCAAAAAAGAAGACGGCGTACGTTGGTAATGGTGCGGCCGCTTGCTCTTCGCCTACTACTCCTGCGCCTTCTCTCTCTCCGCGGCGACGCACAAGTTCAGGCGCGGCAGGGAGGCGGCAGGGAGGCACCGAACTGCAAAAAGGAGGACGGGTATGGGTTGCGCAATGTGGTTGGGCACCGCGCACACGCAGGTCATAGACCCATATTCCCTCACCCTCCTCCTCCGCATCCTCCTTCTTCCCCCCCGACTTACCCGACTTGCGTCATGCGACGTCGTGAGGAACAATGAGGAGCCGGGTGGACCCGTGAACCCTGGACCCAGGACACCAACGCAGATCTAGAGCTCCAGCCGTGATCTTTCACGACGCCTGGACGTTGGTGTATTGCTCCCCCATTCTCATCCTTCTCATCTGCTGCGCATCATCCTCGCGGACAAAGCGGACGGAAGCCAAAGCAGGAGGACGGAAGAAGAGAGAGAGATGACCAGATGCTGATCCAAAGCGGCCTCGCTGGTGCATGCTCCAGGAGACAGGGAAACCCCAATCCTTCTCCTCTGCATCCTCCTCCTCCTCCTCCACCACCTCCTGCCCCTCCTCCTCATCCTCCTCCTCCTCCTCCTCCTCCTCCTCCTGCATCCTCTGCATACTGAGGATAGTGAGCCTCTCTGAGACCGTACCACAGCCTGCAGCTCCGCAGAAACTCGCCCGAGATGAGATTCCGAACAACCGACCTCAGGAAAAACGAGGCTCCACGATACTAACCATGCTGGACATCTGACGCAACGACTACGACGACGACGACGACGACGACGACGACGACGACGACGACGACGACGACGACGACGACGACGGACGACGGACGACGGACGACGGACGACGGACGACGGATGGAGGACGACGGACGACGTCCACGGCCCCAGGACCTCCCAGCATGTCGAAGAGAAGCGACCGCTGCTCAGGCCCCAGTGGGGGAACGAATAATGACAGAAACATAAAAAACTCGGAGGCCCGCGCGGATTTCTCGGATCGGCGCTGGACCGGGGTGGCGCCGGAGGCGGCGACAAGGGGTCCAGCGCGAATCCGAGAAATCAGCGCGGACCTCAGAATTTTTATGTGTATGTCATTCTCCGTTCCCCTGCCCAGAGACCTCGATCCTCGAGTTAAGTCGGGCATGTACTCCCACAGGCGGATCTTGGAAGAAAAGCGAAAAATTCTCAAAACAGACATTCCCAAATGAGCAAACATAGTACCAAAATCGTCCACACATGTTTTCCTATTTTTGAATATTCTTGGGCCGGGCGACAGGGGGGGATAGAAGGGGGGGGTTGAGAATCAGCTCACGTAGCTGATTTTCTCGGCGCCTCCCGGCGCCGGGAAGCGCCCATGTATCGAGGAATGGGCCCAGCGGCGGGGCCAAAACCAGCCGCATGCAGCAGATTTCGTACCACCCCCTTTTCCCTATCCTCACGTTGCTCCCATCGTACTTGAGGACCACATCCCAGAAGTAATTTCGAGCACCCAGAAAAGTGTCGAAAGAGTGTCGAAACAGTGTCGAAAGAGCGTCTCCCAGGGCTCGACACGTGAAACCCCTCGAGTTTTGGGGTGTTTTCCTGGTGCTCGAAATCTATTCTGGCGATCAAGGCTAACGTAAAAGTACGTCGGAACATCATAACCCGATCCCCCTCTTTCGTTCGGCCCGATCTCGGGCGTTGGCAGAATTGGGTTAAGTGGAACCTGGTTTAGTGATGTGTACCGGGGGGCGCCCCCCCTGCCCCGTCCCGCCAACCGGAACTGCCGTCACCCGAAAAACGCCGGTTACGGCAAACCTGGTGTAGTGAATCTGGCCAATTGAGGGGCCCCAGGGCCCTGCCACTAACCGGGTCCACTTACCCGGCGTCCTGGCTATACCCGACGATCTCCTCCTGCAGAGGGCCGTGCCCGACGGAAGCCTCGACCCGCGACGGCGACGACGCCGCCGCCTCCGCCGGAGCTCCTGCCCTGCGCGGGGCCCCCGCCCGGCCGCGGCGTGCCCCGCCCTCGGCGCCAAGAGGCCCGCCCCGAGAGGCACCCGTCGGGCGGAGGCGACTGCCGAGCGTACCGGTCGGGTCGCAGGAGGAGGAGGAGGAGGAGGAGGAGGAGGAGGAGGAGGAGGAGGAGGAGGAGGAGGAGGCGGAGGCGGAGGAGGAGGGGGAGGGCTGGGGGGCCCAGGAGGCTAGGGGGAGAGGCGAGACTGACTGCGGAGACGAACTGGAGACGACTACGGGCAGATTTTGGCCGAAATATAAAGATACATCAAAGAAGATTCGGAAAAGTAGCCAATAATAGTAACAAAAGCGTCCCCAGACTGTTCTTTTGACTGTTCTTGAGTGTTCCTCATGTAGAGGGACACGCCCGAGTTACGACGACGAATTACCAAGAGTATAGTCACAAGGCTGTCATAAGGAACCCTAGAACAAAGAAGACTCTGTTGCCTCCAAAAGTTAAACTTCGACTTCACATAGAAGACCTAAGGACGAGCTAAGACATCATTTGAAGCAGTGAAGGAACACTGAGCCCCTCCCCAACGAAAATGGTTCCATCTTCAGCGACCTCTTTCAAGGATGAAGCGGCCTCAGGCTTAGGTCGGGCATGTCTCCCTACAGGCGGATTTTGGACGAATAATCAAGAATAGCCAGAACATGCACCAAAATGGCCCAAAAGTTGTAAGACATCGTCCCCAGACTATTCTTGTTCTGACTATCTTTGAATACTCCGCCTGTGGAGGCGCAGGCCCGACTTGACCTCAGGCCCTCAGAGAGCACTGGGAAACGCGGCAGGTCGTTGCCCCACGGGCCCGAGGCCGGGACGCGTCAACGCACCCACCGCCCCGGGGAGCCGGTGGTCCTGGATGTCGGGAGGCGGAGAGGTGGATGTCGTCGGCACCTCTGGGGGCCACAGCGTGCTCTGGGTCTCTTCATAAGCGTGGGGGGGGCACCCCCCCGACGAGGGTCAACCTCGCCTCGTCGTCGCGCCGCGACGGGGGCAGGGGGAGCCCTCGGCGCGCGGTGGCCGCCCGGGACGGGGGTCGATGCGGGGGCCGTCGCCGGGGATGAGGCCCCCCCGACGACCATCAAGAAGCTCGGAGCATCCGTGTCCACCGCCCCCTGGGGTCCTGGGAGATCGTTCCCCGGGCGGTGCGCGTGCAGAGATCCCGGCCTCGCGAACGAGGAGGCGGAGGATGAGGAGAAGTGGTGGGCCCCGCCTTGCTTCACAAGCTCCTCCATCTCCTCAACGTCGCCCTCCTCGGAGGCGAACCACAGCGCTCTATTGAGGCGGATGCCGAGCTCCTGCCCAGGAGCGGCGCATCGCGGCAACTGCCAAGGGGATGACCACAGTTCGCAGAAGCTCGTGTACAAACGGCAGGCCTCCGACCGACAAATCCCCTTCGCCCCCGCGCGTGGAAGCGGCGAGCGAGGCACGGTCCAGCTGGAGTCCCAATCACCAGTCCTCTTGGCGCAAGCGTTTTGGAAGTCCGATCTCCCTTCCGTCACGCCTCCCCGTGGGGAAAGGTTTACGCCTCCACGCCCCCCCAGGGTCACAACGTTTCCCTCCCCGCCTGTCGATTGGAGGCTGCTGGCAATCTCACTTGGTGGCAGCCCCTGGTCAACCACGGAGATAAGGACGAACCACATGTGTGAGTTGGGAGAGTCTGTTGCGACCTTTCTGCTGATTTTTGGGGGGCGAAGTGCTGTTGCTGCCCTGTTGGGGCCCTCTTGGAGTCTCTTAGACTGCTTAGAGCATTTGGGGCCCTTGTGGGGCCATCCTGGGGTCTGCGCGAAGTTGCCTTTTGGACCAGGCCTCGAACTGGGAGGATCGGGGGAAGTCTCTTGTGGTCTTTTCGAGGCGCTCTTGGTGGCCCTCGGGGGTACTCTTGGGCTCTTCGGGATCTCCGTTGGGCCCTGTCGGGCCACCTCGGTATCATCCGCATGCCTCAGAAGCTCGTCGAAGGGCCAACTCACCCAACAACCACACGCATCCTCGCCGATCTTGCCCCTCTTTGTGATTCGGGGGGGGCTACGGGGCCGCCTCGGAGCCAAGGATGGGGTCCTCTCTTTGGGCGTCTGGGAGCCGTGCCGGAAGCCCCTTGGGCCACTGCTCATCAAGCGCCATCTCGTCTACTGCGTATTGTCTGACCTTGTCCAATTCAAGACGGGGCAACGGGCGCACCGATGCCACGATTTTATGCCGCTACTCTGGGGTGCCACGAATGGTCAGAGCGACCAGGACGGCCCAACATACCGCTCCAAGATGGCCTAAGGTAGCCCAACGCAAGATGCCTCAATGAGGCCAGGATGACCCAGGAGGGTCTACCACTTGGCGCAAGCTGCTTCAAGTTGGCACGATGTGGCCTCTGGCATGGCTCCAAGACGCAAGAGACCCAAGACAGCTGCACGATGGCTCCAGATGAACAGGCAGCCTCCCGAGGAGGAGGTCTCTGAGGGCAACCATCATCCGGACACCTGTAGCCAGCGAGAGGGACGCCCACGAGGCCGCAGAGCAGACGAAACCCCGCCACATCCGTCCAAGCACGTATAACATTAAGCGATCTATGCTATGAGCAAGCACTGTTCAGGGAGCAGACAACTAAGCAGAAACCTTGGAATTGGTATGTGGTGGAGTCCATGTCGTGTGGTCGATGCGGTGCAAGCGCCTGTGGTGCAGTGTTTGCGGCGCACTGTCCTTGGTGCATTGTATGTGACGCGTCCTACGGGTACCCACCGGTCGGAAGAAGTAGGTAGAAACATGAAGTAGGAAGGCGTTGAAAGTGGATTGGAATCCGTCCGCCCCCTTGGGAGGACGGAAAAGGTGAAACCACTCGACCATCGAAGGAGGAGGGCGCTTATAGCAGATTGGAATCTGGGAATCCAGAAATACCTGCTTCCAACGACCGGTGCCTACAGTCACAAGGAAGGGTGCCCACACAACCACCGGGCACCGACCCAACGCACGGGAGGGACCACGGGCGGCAACGAGCGGCAACCTTGCGACCTCTCGACGGATCCACCCTGCGCACGGCGCGCGCAAGAGGCGCCCACGGGCGGCAACGTGGCGCATGCTCGACAGGCCCATTCGCTTGCGCAGGGAAGGGATGTAAGAAGGCCTTGTGCAAGCCACTGTGTTGGGGAACGGCGTCTTCAGATCACATTGCGGATGTCCTGAAATTAGCCCGCCTCGGCCAGGAGCGATCTGGGAGTGTGCTCCGCAAGCCACAGCAGGATATAACACCATGTTCTGGTGGTGGGCCCGCGTAGGCAGACTTGGCGGCGGCTGGGGGGTCTGAACTGACCGGGACCCCAGAAGAACGGTCAGGAGGGGGGGGATGAAGCCGAATCAGCTCAAAATCGGTCCCCAGACCCCTCTGGGTGTCCATCTGGTGCAGTTTTCCAGCACAGCTCCGATGTTCATGGTGCCGGTGCCCGAAAACGGCCCCCAGAGGGCGAAAAAGGCCAAACACCTGTCCGAACCCAAAACGGTGGGCTTGTTTCCCCCACCACCACCAGAAGTAGGAGGGGGAGGGGGTCCTCCTCCTCCTCCTCCTCCTCCTCCTCCTCCTCCTGTTCCTTCTCCTCCTCCTCCTCCACCTCCTTCCCCCTCCAACTTATGGTGGCCCATCATCGAACTTGCCCGCCCTTCCTGCTGGCCCGAACCAGTGCTGGGCGGCCTCAGACCCTCCGACGGCTCCAGAGGCAGAGCAGGGCGCTTCGTGACTGCTGGGGCTCACATCTTCCCCCGTCATCTAGAACATGTATTTATATATATATATATATATATATATAGAGAGAGATACGTATGTATACATATATAGGCAATCACTACCTCGAAAGCTCAAGGAAATTAGCTGACAAACAAATACGGGTCAACAGTTAACTTTACTTTAGCGGTCGCAGAAGAATACAAAATAAACGTTTCCGCTGTCGGGGGCGCCTACCCCCCGGGCGGCTGGAAAGTTGATTGACGTGGCACCGCAGGGGTAGAAACTTTGCAGCCGCCTGGGGGGCAGGCGTTCCCGACGGCGGAACAGCGTTTCTTTTCTACCGCTCTTCGCCCTCCTAACCCAGACATGCGACGTCCTGATTTTTTCAGCACGCCGTCCCTGGAAGTCCCGACCCTTTCCCCGGGACCGCTGTTTCGTCCTGAGTCGTTGTTTGCCGGTCCCGAGGCCCGGCGAGGGCCCCCCCTGGGGTCGAACATGGCCAAACACCTCCCGTCCCGATAGTCTCTACGACGAGATCGTGTCGAAGCCTGAGCCTGTGCACTGAGCCTGTCGAATCTCGGGTCGAGCGAAAGGGGGGGATAGCAGAAGGGGGTTTGAGAATCAGCTCACGTAGCTGATTTTCCCAGCGCCTCCCGGCGCCGGAGGCGGCCATGTATCGAGGAATGGGCCGCTCGGTGAGGCCGAAACCAGCTGCACGCAGCAAATTTCGTAACCCCCGGCCCCTTTCCGAATCCCCTCCTTTCGTCCGGCCCGAGAACCGTGCCATCCACTCGGAATCTGTGCACTGAGATCCTGTGCACCGAGCCTGTGCACTGCGCCCGTCGAGTCCGCACTCGGGACCCGTGCACCGAGATCCTCTCCGCGCCGCGGGCCCGCTCCCATCGGGAGCGGCCAAGACGGGGGTGTCCAAGAGGTGGGGGTGCAACTCATGACCGGCGGCATGTGCGCGGCCCAGCGGGGGGGCCAGGGACGTCATGAAATGAGAAGAGGCGCCCTGAAACCTGGGGAAATATCATGGCCCACGCCATGATATCCACCCCCCCCTAGTCATCGCCCCCCTTTTTTCCGCCCCCGACATCTGCCGCCGTGGAGGACCCGTCGGGCCGCTGTTGAGTTGAGGAGGAGGAGGGAGGAGGAGGAGGAGGAGGAGGAGGAGGAGGAGGAGGAGGAGGAGGAGGAGGAGGAGAGGGAGGAGGAGGAGGAGGAGGAGGAGAGGAGGAGGAGGAGGAGGAGGAGGAGGAGGAGGAGGAGGAGGAGGAGGAGCAGGAGGAGGAGGAGTCATCACCCCCCTCTTTTCCGCCCCCGAGCTCCCAGGCAGCCGCGGCCCCGATAGCAGAGAGAAAGAGCGGCCGGGGCGCTTCCTGCACGGGGTCCCCCGCGTGCAGCACCCGCGGCGGCGCCCCGGCCGGCCCCAGGACCGGGCCGAGGCGGGCGCCGTCCTCGCCGGCGCGGTCGCCGGCGAGATCGAGGAGGAGAAGGAGGAGGAGGAGGAGGAGGAGGAGGAGGAGGCGAAGGAGGAGGGAGGAGGAGGAGGAGGAGGAGGAGGAGGAGGAGGAGGAGGAGGAGGAGGAGGGAGGAGGAGCAGGAGAAACACGGAGGAGGAGGAGGAGGAGGAGGAGGAGGAGGAGGAGGAGGAGGAGGAGGAGGAGGAGTAGTAGTACGAGGGATCGAGGATCTAGGCTTCCTCACACGTTTTTTGCCTTGTTGACCTCCCCCCGGCGATCCTCAGCGTCATTCTGCCCGCCGAGAGCCGCCCGCCGCCGTCGTCGTCGTCGTCGTCGTCGTCGTCGTCGTCGCAGCCGTCCTTGTCGTCGTCGTCGTCGTCGTCGTCGTCGCCGTCGTCGTCGTCGTCGTCGTCGTCGTCGTCGTCGTCGTCGTCGTCGTCGTCGTCGTCAACGTCGTCGTCGTCGTCGTCGTCGTCGTCGTCGTCGTCGTCGTCGTCGTCGTCGTCGTCTCCGTCCTCGTCGTCGTCGTCGCCGTCGCCGTCGCCGCTGCCGTCGCCGTCGCCGTCACCGCCACCGCCGTCGTCGACATCGGCATGCCTGGACTTGGGGCGGACTTGATAGTTGCGTCTGGCGCCCTTCCCTATCACATTGCGGCCTCTGGGGGGGGCAGCTTTGGGCCCCGAGGCCATCAAACATCAATGAGGGACGAGACGGAGGGGGTGGAGACCCCTGCAGGGGGCCGCGGATTGAAACATCGATCCGTCGGAAGTCAGGGCCATTTCCGCCGTCGACGGCGCCGTCGTCATGGACCACGTCGACGTCGCCGACGTGGCATGCGGAGAGTTGGGCGGCTGGACCTTGCTGGGAGCGAACTTCCCAGAAGGGACCTGGGGAGGGGTCTGCGGACCAATGCTGCCGGGGCTCGCTTCGCCCGGGCTGGGTTCGCCCAGCTCGCGGCGCCCGCATCGCCTCGCAGAGCTCTCGCTCCGCCAGACTCGCCTCCGCGCGCGTCTCCACGTGCTGCCCGCCCGACCCGTCCGCCATAAGGCCCCGCCCACCCGATCCGCCCGTTGGTGCATGGCCCGCCCGACCCGCCAGCCTGGGCCCGCCCGCCCGCCCCAGACCCCGCGGAGCGAACCCCGGCGAGAGCGACGGGCGAAGCGAGCTGCGGCGATGCGAGCCCCAGTCCACCGAGACGGGCGAAGCGAGACCGGCGGAGCCCTGGCGAAGCGAGCCCTGCGGACCGAGCCCCAGCGAGCGGCGCACCAGCGAACCGAGCCCAACCGAACCACAACTCGGGCCCGAGTCTGTGCCGTGGTGAGCGGTCGTCAGCCTCGGCGTCGTCAGCCTCGGCGTCATCTTCATCGCAGCTCGCGTCCTCTCGAGCACTGTCTCACATCTTGTCCTGCCTATGTCCTGCGAAATCCTTGAACAGTATAGTAGCACTTGCGTTCTGCAAGCTCACGTTTCAGGTACACAGTGCAATTTATCTGTCATCACTGTTGCTGGCTGTGGAGGAAACCACCGGCAGCGACGTATGAAATTGAACAATGGTGGCATGGGAAGAAGGGTACGCATTCAACGCGCCACAACACCCGCCTCGGAGGGTCGCGACGGCCAATTCAGAACCGACTCGACGCTTTCACATCGGGAAGCCTGCCTCCCTAATCCGCTAAAACTGGTGGCGCAGCCCCTGCCCTGGTCTCGTGGCTGCGCGCTGAAACATAACGAAGCCCGATGCTTACAGCCTGCCGCATCTCCCTGCAGCAGGACAGAGGCCTCGGAGAGACCAATCTATGTATTTACTGTCCGACTTCTCCTGGCCAAAATCTCGAGATGCCGCGTTCAACAGTTAGGCTCACCTTCTCAGGCTGTTCCCCCGGCCTCTGGAGGGGAACCGCGTGGGAACGCTGCCTCTGTAGAGTAGATTTCTGACAAGCTCGCTGGGGCTCAGACTTCGAAGCGCGTCTGCAAAGAACTGAAAGCCCAACAGGGGCGTCCGATATTACCACAGCGTCGAGCGTGCCCACAGGGGCAGGGTTCGCAATCGGCCGCAGACTCTTCGGCGGGGAGACCTGGGGGGAAGTGACAAGGGGCGGGCCTGCTCAGAAGGCTCGGAAGTTCCCCGTCCTTCTGAGAGGTTTTCTAAGCCTTCCCCGTCGTCGCCGTCGTAGCCGTCCCCGACTGCATCGGCGACGGTGACGGCGACGGAGACGGCGACGGCGACGGCGACGACGACGGCGACGGCGAGGGAGACGGCGACGGCGACGGCGACGACGACGACGACGACGACGACGACGAGAACGACAACTACGGCGACGGCGAGAGCGACGGCTCCGGCGACGGCGACGATGCCGATGACGGCGACGCCGACGAAGGCGACGACGACGACGACGCCAGCGGCGACGGCGGCCGCGGCCGCGGCGGCGGGGCAGCGCGCGCGCGGCGGCCAGAGTCGCCACCATGGCCCAATCCGCGGTGCCCAGCACCACGGGCTGCACCGGGCCGCCGGTGGTGAGGCCGGGCCCGGGCCCCACCTGCGCGCAGTGGCCGCGCCGCAGCCGGCGTCGCTGTCGCCGTCGCCCTGCCTGGCCACGGCCAGGCGCGCAGCTGCCGAACTGGCTGCTGCGCTCCGCGCGCCTGGGTGTTCACTTGCGCAGATCCAAGGGCCATCCCGGTGTCGGCGTGCGCAGATCCAGGTCGGTCTTGCCCTCTCTGCGTGCCGCCAGACGCACGCTGTGGGCGCGTTGCTGCGCCGATGGGGATGGGACCAGCGGAGGGGCGCGCCACGCCCAGCGGGGTGGTGTCCCACCGAGACCTAAAGAGACGCCGCCCTCCCTGGCTGCTGCCAGGCGCGCAACTGCCGCCAATTTGCTCCGCCCATGGAAGGTCCGGCGCGGTGGCGTTACACAGACCGCAGCGGGACCGCAAAGGGTCCTCGCTATCACTGGCTACTGCCAGTGGCGCAATGCCGCAACTTTGGTGGTTCTGGGGGAGGTCCAGCGGGCCGGAGTCCCACGCAGACCCAAGCAGACCTCGCTCAACGTAGACTCTAGAAGACCCTTGGCGGCCATCGCCCCCCCCAGAAGACGGAGCAAAGGGGGGGAAATGGAAAAAGAAGCGGGACGAGGAAGAAGACGGGGGGGGGTAAATTTTGGCGAAATCGGAGGGCTGCTGATGCGAAGATCCCTCTCCTCCGTCCGAGCCCGCCCCAATCCCCGCCACGCGCCCATGAGAAACCTCTGGGCGTTTCCCTTGGCATGCCTGGGCGGGCGGCGGCTAGCAGCGCCGGGCTCCAACGATTGGGCTCGGCCGCTGACTTTGAGCGCGGGTTCATGCGCGGGCTCGCGGAGGCCTGGGCGAGCTCGCGTCGAAGGCCGAATGCGTCGGAGGGCACCTCTGAGGCTGGCCATCCAAAGCCGCGCCCTCCAGCCCGGACTGGGCGCGGCCAGCGTCCCGACGCGGCGGCCGCCCCTCTGCTTTCGCAATAGAGCAGGCGATCTTACCGAGCGGCGTATTTCCGCGCCTCCAAGGCGCATCCGCAACGACAGTGTATTGGTCGCGTGCGGGACACATGTAAAATTTTAGTCTGATGTTGCGCCCGCGTTTGATAGGCTTCACGCGCACTGATTGTGTACCTGTTTTACACATGACTAGACACCTGGACATTACTTGAGACAACGCTGCTTTTCCATTGAACATCTTCCCCAATACATGTGCATGGCGCGGGGTGGTGCGCTTCCTCCGTGCGCGTGCACACGCTGTGTCGGCAACGCCCGATCCCACAGACAACCCGCATCATGAGGACGAACGATAAGGATGCAGGGGCCTTGGACGGCCATGTCGACAGTTTGCGAAAGGGGCGCGGCCAGCGAAAACGACCAATGATGGGCCGACGGGGACTGTGCAAGGGAAGCCTCGGACAAAAAACTCACGCTTACTACGCGGAGGAGGAGGAGGAGGAGGAGGAGGAGGAGAAGGAGGAGGAGGAGGGACGAGTGGTTCCTCTCTGCCCGCCCCGCCACGCTCGCCCCCACCCGACCGCGGCCTCGCGGCCGCGCCTCGGACCCCCTTCGGGAAGCCGCGTGCGCTGGCAAGGGCCTGCTCGAGGTGCGGGGACTCGGCCGATCCTGCTGCGCGCCACACGTCTGGCGCGGCACGCTCGCCACAGCGTTGGCCAACGCGCGCCGAGCCAACGCGCAGAGCGTGAACGCGGACGTTTTGAACACGGTGCGCGTGGCGCTTCCAAACGGGCGCCTCGGGGAAGCGAAGGGCGGGGGGGGGGGGTCCCAGTCTCAGTCGGGCCCTTCTACAGGGTCTTTCTGGAACGTCTGCCTCAGATTTGTTTCCGGAGCTTCTGTCCCTGGGCTGGTCCGGCCCCTGTGTGGGGGGCATTGCTGGACCGCCCGATCCCAATGGGCCTGGCATTGACCCTTCTTCCGCGGACTGCTATGCTATCCCTCCACCCCTCCTCCTCCTTCTCCTCCTCCTCCTCCTCCTCCCCCTCCTCCTCCTCCTGCCCCTCTCCTCCTCCTCCTCCTCCCCCTGCCCCTCCTCCTCATCCTCCTCCTCCCTCAAGCTACGTCGTTTGAGAGCAGTGCTTCCGCGCCGCGCGCTCGGGTCGCCCCCGTCCCTCTTTGCGACGCATGAAGGGGCCCGCGTGAGCTACGCCACCGCTATTGGGCGGCGGCGACGAGAGGCGCAGCCCCGAAGCGTCGCCATCCGACGCGGGGGGGCTAGATCGCAAGCGGTGGCCGAAGTGGGCGTAAGCTGCATGGCGACTATCAGGAACTTGAGATGGACGGCGGCTCGCCTTCTCGTCCTCGGGGCTCTCTCTTTCCCGAGCCAGAAAGGGGGTCTCGACCACCGCGCTAGCGGCGTCAACGGCAAGGAAGAGCAGTTTATTTCGAGATCCGGCAGCGGCTGCCTGGGGCAAGAACCTCTCTCTGCGCGCGTGGGAGGCGGTGGGGGCGGCTCCCGGCAGCAGCTCGCCCCCAGAGCACAGCAGCGTCTGGATGCAAGAGAAGCTTGCTAGGTGCCCATTTCCAGCGCAAGGAGGAGGAGGAGGAGGAGGAGGAGGATGAGGAACGACAGGCCGCACGCCCAGCAAGCAGCTTGCTTGGCGCGGCAGCGCGGCCGCCCCTATGTTCTTCGAGCGATCCTTTGAACTCTCGCGGAGCAGGCCATGCCGTGGGCCGACGTCGCCCTTCTCGCCAGCAGGCGCTTGCCAAGCTCGACATTCGGGGATGGACAGACCCCCCTTTAGTAAAACGTGGTTCAGTGAAAACGGCCTGAGGCCCAAACCTGGCGGGCGCAAGCCTGGAAAATAACGACCACGGCGCCCTATCGAGAACCAAAAACGGACAATTCACTAATCGACGTGTCACTGTTGGGGGTTCTGTCCGTCCCCGAGGCATCAGCCGCGGAGAGCCTCCGAAGCACCTTTGGGGACGCGAGGGCAGCCTAGCTGGCGAGGAGCCGTTGCGACAAGTGGATGAGCAAGCCGTCGCGATACGCGGCTCGCCTGGGAACAACGCCGACCCTTGGTTCGCTCGGGCTTCATGCGTGAGCTTCGCCGTCCAAAGTTTCCCGCAACGGCGAAGCGGTCCGCCCCGACAACCACCGCGGCAATTCTGCGAGGGCGCGTGCCGCTTCTCCTCCTCATGTGCAAGTTGGCGGCAGCCCTGGGCAGCGGCAACGTGCTTCCCTTCTCCGACGGCACCCTCCCGGAAGAGATCGCGACCGGGGCAGTTCTCAGATCTCCCTGGTCAAAGGAATAATCTCTTCGCGCGCCCGGTCGAGCCAGCGACCGCAGAAGCCAAGCCCTTCAAAAGGGGGCTCAGGGCGTCGCGGGCCCACGGGGAACGCGGGACACGCAACCCGAGGGCCGCGCAGACTGACAGTAGTCGGTCGTCCGAGGCCCAGCCGCCTGGAGGCGGCGCGCTTCGCCGTGGGCCAGGCCGGGCAAGGAGCGAAGCAGCGCAGCAGATCTGCTGGCCCCAGCCGCTGACATCGCGGAGGCGCCTCCGCAGCGGGAGGTTCGAAGGCTCCGGGCTCACTCGCGGCGAAGAGGGGCGCGGGCGCGGCGCGTTCTCCACGGGCATAACTACACTGATACGCTCAGCAAGAGTTTCGGTGAGCTTCAACTGCTCCCCCCCTCCCACCGGTCATGTTGGGGGCGTGGCGGGGCCGCCCGCGCA